TGACAAAATTAAAAACCCATTTAATATAAAAAAAAACTCTTCAGAAAGTGGGCATAGAGGAAACCTACCTCAACATAACAAAGACCATATATAACAAACCCATAGCAAATCTCAGTGGTGAAAAACAAAGCATCACCCCTAAGATTAGGAATAAGACAAGGATGCCCATTCTCACCACTATTATTCAGCATAGTTTTAGAAGTTCTAGCCAGGGCAATCAGAGAAGAAAAAAAATAAAAGGAATCCAAATTGGAAAAGAAGAAGTAAAATTGTCACTGGTTGCAGATGATATGATACCACACATAGATAACACTGAAGATGCTACCAGAAAACTACTAAAGCTAATCAGTAAATCTAGTAAAGTTGCAAAATTAATACACAGAAATCCTATACATTCCTATGCACTAACAATGAAATGTCAGAAAGAGAAATTAAAGAAACAATCCCATTTACCATCACAACAAAAAGAATAAGATATCTAGAAATAAATCTACCTAAGGAGACAAAAGACCTGTACTCAAAAAACTGTAAGATACTGATGAAAGAAATCAAAGACAATACAAACAGATGGAGAAATATACCATCTTCTTGGATTGGAAGAATCAATATTGTGAAAATGACTGTACTATGCAAAACAATCTACAAATTCAATGCAATCCCTATCAAAGTACCAATGGCATTTTTTACAGAATTAGAATGAAAACTTTACAATTTGTATGGAAACACAAAATACCCCAAATAGCCAAAGCAATCTTGGGAAAGAAAAACAGAGCTGGAGGAAGCAGGTTCCCTGACTTCAAACTACATGACAAAGCTACAGTAATCTAGAGAATATGGCACTGGCACAAAAATAAAAATATCATCAGGACAGGATCAGCTCAGTTCAGTTGCTCAGTAGTGTCAAACTCTTTGGGACCCCATGGACGGCAGCACATCAAGCTTCCCTGTCCATCACCAACTCCTGAAGCTTGCTCAAAGTCATGTCCATCAAGTCAGTGATGCCATCCAACCATCTCACCCTCTGTCATCCCTTTCTCCTCCTGCCTTCAATCTGGAACAGGATAGAAAGCCCAGTGATAAACCCACGCACCTATGGTCACCTAATTTATGACAAAGGAGACAAGAATATACAATGGACAAAGGACAGCCTCTTCAGTAAGTGGTGCTGGGAAAACTGGACAGCTACATGCAAAAGAAGGAAATTAGAACACTCTCTAACACCATACACAAAAATAAATTCAAAATGGATTAAAGACCTAAATGTAAGGCCAGAAACTATAAAACTCTTAGAGGAAATATAAGCAGAACACTTTCTGACACAAATTGCAACAAGACCCTTTTTGATCCACCTCCTAGCATAATGGAAATAAAAACCGAAATAAATAAATGAGACCTAATTAAACTTAAAAGCTTTTTCACAGCAAAGAAAATTATAAACAAGATGAAAAGACTACCCTCAGAATGGGAGAAAATAATTGCAAATGAAGAAGCTGACAAAGGATTAATCTCCAAAATATACAAGCAGCTCATGTGGCTCAATACCACAAAAACAAACAACCCAATCAAAAACTGGGCAGAAGACCTAAATAGACATTTCTCCAAATAAGACATACAGATTCCTAATAAACACATGAAAAGATGCTCAACCTTGCTCATTATTAGAGAAATGCAAGTCAAAACTAGAGTGTCATATCACCTCACATGAGTCAAAATGGCCATCATCAAAAGATCTACAAACAATAAATGCCAGAGAGAGTGTGGAGAAAAGGAAACCCTCCTACACTGTTGGTGGGAATGTAAATTGGTGCACTCATGATGAACAGTATGGAAGTTTTTGAAAAAACTGAAAATAGAACTACCATATGATCCAGCAATCTCAGCCCTGGTCATATATCTATCTGAAGAAGTCCATAAGTTGAAAAGGGACATGCACTTCAATGCTTACTACAGCACAATTTACAATAGCCTTGACATGGAAGCAACCTAAACATCCATTGACAGTGGAATGGATAAAAAAGATGTGGTACACATATACAATGGAATACTATGCAGCAATAAAAAATGCCATTTGCAGCAACATGGATGAACCTAGAAATTATCATACTAAGTAAGTCAGACAGAGAAAGACAAATATGTGTTATCACTTATTTGTGGAATCTAAAAATAGGAGGTACAAATGAACTTATTTGCAGAACAGAAATAGAGTCACAGATGTAGAAAACAATCTAATGGTTACCAGGGGATAAAGTAGGCAGAGGAATAAGTTGGGAGATTGGGATTGACATATACACACTACTATGTATAAAATAGACAATGAATAAGTGGCTACTGCATAGCACAGGAACTCTACTCAATATGTAATGGCTAATATGGTAAAATAATCTAAAAAAGAGTGGATATATGTATATGTATAAACATTTCACTTTGCTGTACATTTGAAACTAACACATTGTAAATCAATTGTACTCCAATAAAAATTTTAAAAAATAAAAATAAATAAAAACAGAAAATAAGCATTTTGGAAAAATTTAAATTGTCATGTGCTGCTGGCAGGAACGTAAAATGGTGCAGCCATTGTGGAGAAGTTTTTCAGTTACTCAACAAATTCAACATAGAGTTACCACATGACCAGCAATTCTACTGCTAGGTATCTACCCAAGAGAATTGAAAACATATGTGCACCCAAAATAATGTGCATGAATGTCCATACCTGCCTTATTCACAATAGCAAAAAGGTGGAAATAACCCAAATGTCCATAAACATAATGTGATATATACATGTTATCTACCATTATTTGGCCATCAGAAGTAATGAAGTATGGTCATGCTACAATATGGATGAACCTTGAAAATGTCATGCTAAGTAAAAGGAGCAACTCACAAAAGACCACATACGTGTGATTCCACTTATACGGAATGTCCAAGGTAGGCAAATCCATAGAGACAAGAAGTAGACTAGTGGTTGTTAAGGGGTTTGGGGTGGTAATTGGAGCTAAGTGCACATGGGCAAGAGAGAGATGCTATTGAGGTGATAGAAATATCTAATGTTGGATGCAGTGATGGTTGCACCACTCGATAAATTTACTTAAAGTACTTGAAGGTACACGTAAAAGGAGTCAAATTTATGGTGTATAAATTATATCTCAATACAAAATTTTGAAAACACTTTGGGAAGTAGAGAAAAATAGAAAGTCTGTGTGTCTGATTATTCATTAGGGGTCATACACGCCTCATTGAGCTGCTGTATGTTGTTGATGTTGCTGCTGTGGTTATGGTAGGAGTGGAGATTTTCCCCTGAGGACTGAGGGTCAAGCAAAGACTTGGCTCCTTTAAAACACTGTTTTGTAATTAACAGAAAAAGAAAGAGTGTTGCTGGGTTGAAATTCTGAGTAACAGGGGAGGAAAGAGAAGTGGGTGGGTTTAAAAAAAATATTCAGGATGCAGAAGTGGCAAGAATTTGCACTGATCAGATATTAGGAACGAGGAAGAGTGAGGATGCCTCGGACTTAGCATGCTTCAAGTTGAATTCCTGTCGTCCTCTCAAACTTACTGTCCTCCTGTGCTGCTCATCTGAGAGTGGATCAGCATCCTGGCACAGAGGCAGTATTCATTGACTGTCTTTGGAGTGACAGTATGAATGAACAGTGTAAAAATATGGCCAAAGCCTCCACAGGGTCCTGCCAAACAGCCAGTCCTATGCACACCTACGACGTTGGCTCAGCAGATGCCTAGCAGAAGTTCCCTCTCACCCTACTGATCACTTGGGAAGTCAGCATGTCCCCCATCCTAAAGGACACTCACATTCACACCGGTGGCCACTCCTTGTTTAAACCCTGCAGGTGTGGCAGAGACCAGATTTTGCCCAAAGCCTGTAAGTTGTCCTGCAAATTCTTTACATGTGGGCAATGACAGGTGCATGTACAGCCCATATGAGCACGGGGGACATGTGGTGTTGTAGAGAGAGGGTCGCAATGGTGCCCAACTGGTGGATCCGTGTTCACTTTGGCTCCAAGCAGAATGAGACTCTTCCCATCAGAAGGGGTGTATTCACCCAGGGCCTGCATCCACCCCACCCCACCTCATCCTGGCAGGCAGAAAACACAGCTGCCAAAAACACTGCAGAGAGTGAGTGATCAGTTTGGATATTTTACTGCTGTTTCCAGGGTTGACAAGCAGAGATATACAACTGCTTGTGGTTCCTCATATAGATACTAAAACCAGGAAGTGATCCCTTCCAGTCCACCATTCCCAGAAACAGAGAATGAGTCCACTATTCCCAGAAACAGAGAAACATGCAAAAGACGCCCCCAGACTCAACCCTCCTGTTGAACATTCCCCGATTATAGAAGAGAAGTGAAATTTGCAACCCAGAAGGGAAATCTGGCTGTGTCAGCAGTAGAATTGAGGTTGGAGACTTTTGATGAAGTACACTTTTCAAACCAAAGGCAGTGTCATTAGATAAACATCCTTTTCAATGTTAAATGTTAAAACCCGAATGATTTCTGGACCTTTTCCTGGAAGAGCTTTTTGCTGCTGTCAGGTTACAGAACAGCATAAGGGGCCATTTTCTGGGCATGAAGCCCAGGATTCAAAGGGAAGCTCTAGAGAACATCTGGTCTGCTTGATATATTGAAAATGCTTGTGTATTTTTCTGTATGTGCTTCTCTATGCTGACTCATAGCATTGAAGCGTCTCTGGAAACACCCCCACCCTTCTAGCCAGCCAGTTTATACACACCCAGTTGGCTCCTCCTTGATTCAAATGTTAGGTCAAGAGGAAGAAGGAAAACGAATTCAAGAGCCGCTCTCAAGCATCTAGAATTTTCTGCACCCCTCCTCTTGAAGAGAGACTAGCCCATTTCTGACTATTAGAAGCTGGATTTCCCTCTGAAAGCACAACCTGCATTTAAGCCTTTGGATAAAATTGGAAGAAACCAATCTGTGAGTACTGTGGACTGTACAGAAGGCAGAGGGCTGACAATTGTCACTAAAAACAGACAGATGGCAGGCCCAAGGCCCAGCAGTGAAGCAGACCCTGAAATTGAGCTTTTTGTGAAGGTAAGTTTCTAGCTCTAATGACAGCATACAGAATGTAATTTTTCTTGACACTGGACCTCAGCTCCTTTTTAAAAAGTCAACATTTCAGCTAGAGATAGGAAATAAATTTGCAATTAGGTACCTACTCTGAGTCCTTGAAGAATGCTTGGGTGTTTGGCTGCTCTTATATAACAATAGAAAAGCATCCCATCTGAAAAAAGCAAGAAGATATGGTGGAAAGACAACTAGACTGGTTAGTAGTCAAAACAACTAAATTGTATTCTCAGTGACTTCCTTTGTAACCGTGGACCTGTTTGTTTCTCTATCTATACAATGAAGGAGCCTGACAAAATAAATGATCCTTAATTCTTTCCAGGTCTCACAATCTATGTTTTATTGGATAGATTTTGGAAGGGCTGAATATGAGGAGAGGGCCAAAAATGGCCCGAGAGCCTCATTCCCACCCATGGTCCAAGTAGAGCTTTCTAAAATTCTCCTACAATGGATGAACATCACAGCAGTGTCACATGAACACCATAGGAGGGGAAAGCCAGGAGTTTGTGTGCCTGTTATGTGAGTAGCAGGCATTTTGCCTTTTTTTTTTTTAAACATCTTAACTTTTAAGAAAAGCCCTTTGGAAAACCCCTAAAACAGGAGAAAGGAACATGTGTTTCTAAATTAGCTCATCAAGAAAAAGAAACAATTTGAATGGGTTATTCCAAGTAGAAACTAACTGCATAGTTTCCTAAATCCTTGCCTATATTAACTATTTTCTCTATATTTTCATTTACTATTGGAAGTATTCAGGATGATGATAATAACAAATTCATATCATGCTTGACCCTTTTCTAAACACTTTACATATATTATTTCCTTTAGTTTAGGAAGATAGGTTAATAAAAATAAAGTAGTAGTATAAGTTGTATTGGTAGTAATATTGTTCTCATGATTTCTAGATAAGTAAGCTAAGGAAATAAAGGTTAAGGAATTTGCCTCTAAAACTACATCTCCTCTTGATGGCCTACAAAGACATAAATAAGGTGTTCTTACCAAATGCTAGATTAAACACCTGTTAGCCAAAGTAATACTTTTATACTCTGGTGACTCAGACAGTAAAGAATCTGCCTGCAATGCAGGAGACAGAAGAGACACACATTAGATCCCTGGGTCAGAAAGATACCTCGGAGGAGGGAATGGCAACCCATTCCAGTCGTCTTGCCTGGATAATTCCATGGACAGAGGAGCCTGGCGGGCTATAGTCCATGGGGTCACAAAGAGTCAGACGTGACTGAGGGACTAACACTTCTACTTTCACTTTTTTTAAAACATATATACACCAAGGACATAGTTAATCTGCCTTTAAAAAATTATGGGTGAGAGAGAGACTCTTGAATTCCTACACAAAAAAAGAATCCAAGTAAGTGTTTGCTGGACTGTGGGGCATAAGAGCCACTTCTCCTACCTCTTGTTATTGCTGTTTAGTCACTCAGTTGTGTCCAACTCTTTGTGACCCCATGGAATGTAACCCGCCAGTCTCCTCTGTCCATGGGATTTCCCAGGCTAGAGGCTAGAGTACTGGAATGGATTGCCATTTTTTTCTCCATCTCCTACCTTCAGATTCCAGCAAATCTAAGTAAGCCTTAACTTCCCAACTGGCTTTTTATACCTACCAATCTCAAACCAGAGGTAATAAGTCTCTTCAGAGGGTAACTAGTTTCTTTTGTCCAAACTTGTTTATTCAGTCCAACCTAATTCCTCTAACCCGTTGCTGGCACTGATCTGTGTGTTTATCTTCATAGACTTCCCATGATTTGTGTGGTTATCTAGACAGTAGAAGTTAGGAAGTCACACGTTGGAGGAGCAAATGTTAAATTAAACAATAACTTTCAGGTTAAAAACTAATCACTTACTGAGTAGTTACTATATGGCAGGGCCTGTGCTACGTGGTTTATTATTAACCCTATTTTATGGGTACAGAAACTAAAGAAAAAAAGTACCTAGGTAGTTTTGCCTAAGGTTACATAGCTAATAAATGGCTGGGTTAAAATTAAAGTCCTTTTAAGTAACTGTTTTGTGTGTGCATATTCACTGACTAAGTCGTGTCCGACTCTTTGCGACCCCATGGACTGTAGCCTACTGGAGTGTGTTGCCATTTCCTTCTCCAGGGGATCTTCCAGACCCAGCGATCAAACCCATATCTCTTGCATCTCATGCATTTCCAGGCAGATTCTTTACCACTGCACCACCTGGGAAATTAAAATAGCTGTGCATAATCTTAATTATTTTCACTTGTGCACACTTTTTAGTAAAATTTCTCAGAATTTCATTAGATGAAATCCTCTACATGTAAGCTTATCTAATGATGTTGACACAAGTCACAGATTTTCTGAAGGAACCTTGACTATCATCCGGTCTGGGTTTTTGTTTTGCTTTGCTTTAAGAGTGGCGCCAGTGGTAAACAATCTGCCTGTAATGCAGGAGACATTAGAGAGGTGGGTTTGATCCCTGGGTCGGGAAGATCCCCTGGAAAAGGGAATGGCAACCCACTCCAGTATTCTGGCCTGGAGAATCCCGTGGACAAAGGAGACCAGCAGGCTACAGTCCATAGGGTCACAGAGTTGGACATGACTGAGTGAACTAGCATGCATGCATGCAAGATTGATTCCAAAGATCTCTAGAAGTTCTGTAGAAGATACTATGAGGGAGAATAGGGATTGAGAGAAGTGAAAATATTAATGACAAAGCTTAAAAAGCAACTATACCTCATTTATACTGTGGTGTCTTTCCAAAGATTAAATAACTCTGCAATTTTCCCAGCTACCTCTGGGGAACCTACCACAACTTCCCAATAGCACTGATGGGATCCCTAAAAGAAAGTAATTTTTTTTCCTATCACAATTAAGAATTCATATCACACACACCCCTGTGTTCCATATAGCTAGTGAAAACATTGCCTTTCAGCTCTAAATGACTTGGGCAAGATTTATATCTGGGAACTAAGAAAGGATTTTCTAAAAGAACACATTTTATTTTCTCTAGATGCAGAGGTTGTCTTATTTGTTTGCTGTTCACTGATAAATGGAGTTTTTGTGTTCTCTACTCTACCAGTCTAATGGAGAAGGAAATGGCACCCCACTCCAGTATTCTTGTCTAGAGAATCCCATGGATAGAGGAGCCTGATGGGCTGCTGTTCATGGGGCCGCACAGAGTCAGACACGACTGAAACAACTTAGCATGCATGCATGCATTGGAGAAGGAAATGGCAACCCACTCCAGTATTCTTGCCTGGAGAATCCTAGGGACAGAGGAGCCTGGTGGGCTGCCATCTATGGGGTCACACAAGGTCAGACACGACTGAAGCGACTGAGTAGCTACAGCAGCAGCTACCAGTCTAAAATTAAGTTTTCACAGATTTGTGCATAACATTATGTGTGCTGTGCTTAGTCACTCAGTCATGTCTGACTCTTTGCAACCACATGGACTGTAGCCCTCCAGGCTCTTCTGTTCATAGGGATTCTCCAGGCAAGAATACTGGAATGGGTTACCATGCCCTCCTCTAGGAGATCTTTCCAACCCAGAGATCAAACCCAGGTCTCCTGCATTGCAGTCAGATTCTTTACCATCTGAACCACCAGCAAAGCCCAAGACTACTGGAGTGGGTAGCCTATCCCTTCTCCAGGGGATCTTCCCAACCCAGGAACTTAACCGAGGTCTCCTGCAATGCAGGCAGATTCTTTACCATCTGAGCCACGAGGAAAGCCCATACCATTATAGACTTTAACATTTGGGCCAAAATTCTGAATAAAATATTTTTGTCTTTATTGATAAATGTGAGATAGAGAGCGGTACTATTCTCTAGCCAGACTGCTTTCAAATCAGAACTATCATAAAGACGATCATAAAGATTTTGTTGTTGTTGTTCAGTTGCTCAGTCATGTCTGACTCTTTGCAACACCACAGACTGCAGCATGCCAAGCTTCCCTGTCCTTCACCATCTCCTGGAGTTTGCTCTAACTCATGCCCATTGAGTCGGTGATGCCATCCAACCATCTCATCCTCTGTCATCCCTTTTACCTCATGCCTTCAACCTTAACCAGCACCAGAGTCTTTTCTAATGAGTCAGCTCTTGGCATCAGGTGGCCAAAGTTTTGGAGCTTCAGCTTCAGCATTAGTCCTTCCAATGAAAATGCAGGGTTGATTTCCTTTAGGTTTGACTGGTTCAATCTCCTAAATGTCCAAGGAACTATCAAGAGTCTTCTCCAACACCACACATTGAAAGCATCAATTCTTTAGTGCTCAGCCTTCTTTAGGATCCAACTCTCACATCCATACATAACTACAGGAAAACCACAGATTTGACTCTACAAACATTTGTCAGCAAAGTAATGTCTCTGCTTTTTAATATGCTGCCTAGGTTTGTCACAGCTTTTCTTCAAGGAGCAAGCATCTTAATGTCATGACTGCAGTCACTGTCTGCAGTGATTTTGGAGCCCAAGAAAATAAAATCTTTTACTGTTTCCATTGTTTCCCCATCTATTTGCCATGAAATGATGGGATTGGATGCCATGATCTTTTTGGACTGTTGAGTTTTAAGCAAGCTTTTTATCTCTCTTCTTTCACCTTCATCAAGATGCTCTTTAGTTCCTCTTTGCTTTCTGCCAAACGGGTGGTGTCATTTCATATCTGAGGTTATTGATAATTCTCCCAGCAATATTGATTCCAGCTTGTGATTCATCCAGCCTGGCATTTCACATGATGTACTCTGCATAGAAGTTAAATAAGCAGGGTGACAATATACAACCTTGATATACTCCTTTCCCAATTTTGAACCAGTCTATTGTTCCATGCCCAGTTCTTCTTGACCTGCATACAGGTTTCTCGGGATGCAGGTAAGATGGTCTGGTATTTCCATCTCTTCAAGAATTTTCCACAGTTTGTTGCCATCCACACTGTCAAAGGCTTTAGCATAGTCAATGAAGCAGAAGTAGATTTTTTTCTGGGATTTTCTTGCTTTTTCTATG